AGTCGTACGTTTCTAATTCTGGTCACGCGTTTATAAACACCCAAACGTACCGAAAGTGGGGGACGTCACTGTCTGGCAGGACAGTGCTGGTGAACCGCAAACACCAGATCCCGAAGGCTTAACTTTTTTGTTTGCACGCCCCACCGGTATCGACCAGTGACCTTTGGGATGGTACTGCCATATTAAACCGGCTGAGTTACAGAACAATTTGTTAACACGTCATGCCCAGCCGTATTATATACAACAGGGCACAGCTCAACAGCGCTCAGCCAGAAGTCGCAGCCCAAGTTGGTTACGTTCGCGGGACTGCTGCATTTGCATCGTTCTTGTTTGCATGTCGAGACGAATTTATCATTTGCCTCGTGCGTGTTTGGCATTGGAGTGTCATTTGTTTCCTTGATGGAGTGAATGTTTTAAGGCGGCACGTAAGTGAAAAGAGTCGAGATTATTGATGATGTCCCGGAAGGCATCAGCGTTTGCGATTAAAATGTTGTGGCATGAAATGGACGTGTGCTGCGTGCGGACCACATCGAAGTTAAAAAAGGCACGTCTATTCTAGTCTCGGCAGCGAAGCTTGATCTTATCGGATGTTCATGTCGGTCCGCTGTGTTTGCATTGGATAGCACGTATATTGACAGAAGAATAATGTGGATAGGTCGCTGCTGGGCACGCAACTTCGTTGCTTTAACCGGTTTACTCGCTGCAGCTTTTTGCCGAGAATGATGTGCTGTCTCGAGAAAGGCTTGCTTCGTAAAGACTTGACAAATCGATGGCCACTAATTTACAGCTATTTCAAAGGTGCCCAGATTAACGTGTAAGCGACGACGAAGATATAGACGTCAACTATGAGGCTGTTGACTCTATGGAATTCACGGGACTTGATGGCGCAGTCCAGAGACATCGATTGATTTCCGATGAGTTATATAGGAGACAAACAACATCAGGATCAACTGCTTGGTTGGTAAATCACGTATCGTCTGTGCTGCAGCTGTATGATAAAGAAATTGCCAGGAAAGTAGTCGGCGTGACCGACCAGACCAATCGGGCTTGCACGAATCATTCCCGTGGCTAGTGAGCTAACAAAGGAGCGTGTGCAGCTAAACCGAGTACTAAATCGACCTTGGTAGCAACGGTCTTGAACCGCGATCATCAACAGAGGCTTCATAGTCACTGGCAAGCCCTCCCAATTGTTCGATCGATTTCGCTTTCTTTTATTAGCTTCGGGTGCACCACATATGACAGCGATTGCTACCGAGAGTACGAGTGCACTTCCAGACCCTTTGACGCAACACTAGGTACTGGTCCCCAAATTTTGTGCTTGTCAACGTCTCCGTGACAGCCAATCTCTCGTATCCAAATCTCGTGGCACTCGATGAAGACCTGTCGATACTTTGCGCGATTCAGCAGCGCCGGCTTGTCCTGTCGTTGTCAAGTAAATAAGGTGGCTGGTTAGAACTTTAAGCCGTTCGACAAGCAGCCGATATAACTCCGTTCCATGAAAATCTGGTCACAGCATTACGGAGTTTTTTGGGACAGCGTCGACGTAAGTAGCTCTTTCAGAGCCTTCAAGTTCTTTCTGCAGCCCTGTTTGAACACGCTTGTTGTGGCATACTGGACCAGGAGAGACTGCACTACTTTCATTGAAACGAGAACGCGATGAGTGAGGTATTGAGTCGTCTGACACAGCAAATGAACCGTACCGTACGCACAGTATTCTTGTGCAGTACTGGTCATACGTGGATAACCTTCTTGCAGCGTAAGAACCTCCCTTGTTTGTGTTTGAAGTACCGAAAGCAAGAGCCAAGTTGCTAAAGGCTTTCACGACTGTCGCGTTCATCCATGCATCTCGCGGTGACTTGAAGGCTGTGGAAGACGTGTTACGAGACATGGCGAGTCAAGGTGTTGCTACCGACAGGATGTTCTTTGACTACGTCCTCAACGCACTGTACGGGTCGTGCGGTATCGACCTGTGTTTCTCGCACTTGCGTGAGCTGAGTGCAAACGAGCTGGCGATTCCAGACGGGCTGTACATCTCGCTAATTGGTCTCGGCACCACGATTGGTTTACTTAGTAATGGTACGCGTGACATGTAGATTCACTTGTGTTCAATCGGCGTTGGAACCTACGGATAAAATATACTTCAACAACCGATCAGATTCGAGAGCGCGTCCTGTGTCAATATCGAGAAACGTAGCAGCCATTGCTACACGAATTATGCATGAACCAATGCACAAGTCGTTGCTGCGTCAGTGCTTTTACCATGCAATGAATTCACTTTTACACCTCGGGTGCCTTCATGCTACAATGAAGCCAATACTACCACATCCCCTGCTCGAGTCTGCTCACTAGTCCTTCCCCTTTGCTCAATGCTACTTTCATGCGCCAGGCTGCCAGAGGCTTCAATGTGACTTGACGTTTCCATTCGTGACCACTTGTTCACACCCCGCTGAACGTGACTTAGTTTTACATCTGAAGCATTGACTATCACAGACGTGCGGATGAACGTGAATCTTACTGGCGTGGACGTGGCTCCAAGAAAACTGTCAGCTGTGTTGCTGCAGCCGGTTGGACTTGCAGCTGTCGGAGCGAATTATACGAGTTTAGCTGAATAAGATAATATATGCGCGTTTACAGAAGGCTGTCGCATCAGTACAGAGTATTGTTGCTGTGACTGCGCATGTTTCTTGAGTGTGCTTTTATTGTTAACATCAATAAAGTCGCGAACCATGTTTAACAGATAGATATATTAAAAACGTTTATCGCTAGACTACGGCTAAGACATTGTAAGTGTAAACTAGTCAACACTTGAGTTGGTCGAACAAAACGAATCAGCTCGATCGTAGTGGCTCAACTGGCGTTGGCGCTTGTTCTTTAAATGGAGCAGTGTCTGGCTGTACCACGTCCTATCTTCACCATCTTCATCAGGATCGCGAGTAGCAACGAGCTGTATGAACTCCTTGGTATTAATCTCGTTGCAAATAGGCTTCAACTTGAACCTGTTCGCCGGATGGGCATCTGTCATACCTGCTTGGGTAGCATGGCACTTGTTGTGCCTGCTTGTTTCCTTTAGCGGGAGCAGTGCGTGGCTATACCCAATGGTGCAGTGCTTCTCATCACTTGAGCGCAGCTTGGTGAGCTGGTTGAAGTCCCAATCAGTAGGATTAACGCCATTCTCGTAGATTCCGCATGCTTTGGAATCAATCTCCGACAGCACACTCAATACATGACGGATACTCTCTTCAACGAGGTTGCATAAGCTCTGGATCTCGATAGTAATCCACTAGTAAGCAGATGCACACAGAAGAGAAACGTCAGCAACAAGTAAATTGATAGATCGAGAAATGAATCATGCACTCATCATGATCATTCAAACTGGTTAAGTTGTCAACGGGATTGTGTTGTAGACTCGAGTGTTGCTGATGTCGTTTTTTTCAGAATGAAGTCGTCCTCGCTCATGCCTTTGCTCCGACCCGTGAGATGCACCGACCCGAGTCTGCGACGTGGGAGTAAGTACGCATTTCTCTCACCAATCAGGCATACTCGCCATGCTTGTTCAACCCATCAAGCGACTATACTTCCTGCAGTCTCTTACTTGTTCTTCTGTACTGAGATCTGGTATTCTCATGTACCTCGTCCCGAGACCGACTACATGGCTCACGTCATCTTTACCTACCTGACCTATAAAATAGTAGTCAAAATAAGCATAAAAAACACCTGCACAACGTCATCTCCAGCCAGCACTCTCTGCATTATGTCAGCACTCTCTGCATTCAGTCACTAGTTTCTGATATCCTATCACCTATGTGACGTTAAGAGTTGCCTCGGGAGCGTTTCGGATTCTATTTTTGATCGAAATACGTACACATGTGGCATTTTCGACAGAAAATACGGTCTCAAGTCACGCGCGGCAGGAGACGAGCCCTTGGACTGATTATGACAGTGAACGAAACGACACGAGTAATCAAAATGATGATTACGATGACGGTTACAAAGCGGACGTTCAGCAGAGCAGACGGTGCTGCTTGCCCAATTGAACAGATTGTCGAGCTCTTGTTGTAACGGGGCACCCTGAAGCTTGTACTGATGACAGTTCAAGCTACTTATTCTGATGACAGAATAAGGCGGTGCCTCGTAACTTCACGTACACTGGTACGTGCAGAGGAAGTCGGTAAGAAGAAGCGAGTACTTGGTTAAAGTAGAAAGTAGAACTGTATTTATAATAGTTAATGTCTGCAATAACTCACTGTTTATCCTCATCTAACTATGTCTGAATACAAATGTGCATATCAACTATCTGCTCACCACTCATTGCGTGCGTCTCTCGTAACGCGTCTTCGTTGGTTGATGTAATGGCCTATATCAACCAATTAGGAACTACTTGTAAGTGCTGCAGAATAATTGTCCTAATGACAATATTCCGAGAATATGACTCTTATAGTTGTATTCTATCAACAATGTCTTATAAATTGTTATGTAACGATTCACCCCGTAACATCACCCCCCCTAACCATTAGTCACTTTATTGACTGATTGACTAATTGGATACTCGTCCCAAATCATTTGGGACAGGGTTTGCACTTGTTGGTCCGAGTCCACTTTCCAACATTTCATCGCATGGTTAACAAGCCCATGCGATGCGCGAGCAAGGCCGCCGAGAGCGCGTCCGCACGTCTCTGTGCGGACGCCGAAGCAGAAACCACAGCAACTGATGTCCCATCGGTTGCTGAAGCGACCCAGCCTGTGTCACCTGGTGATGCAGGCGCTGGTCATGAAGACACTCATGTCTTCACAGAGTATGAGCTCGGTGTCTGATACTCTCCCGATACGGAAGGTGGATCTGTATCGACGGCGATCGAAACCAAGCCGCCTGCCAAGCGTGGCATGGATGATGCTATGCGTCGTAGCATCTTCATTCATATGACGAATCAGATGAATCATCGCCAAAGCGAAGGCGCTCGAGGTCGCACGACTCGAACGCTCACAGTGGTGTCGGTTCTCCAATGGACACCACTTCACAGCGAGGTGCCAGTACTTCTGTCGGCACATCGCAGGAAGAGCGGGACCGCAATGTGTTGCGTCTCGCTCCAGAAAAGAAGGCATGGATGCCTCCTAAATCCGTCATGGATCACTTGTCGGCGACGACGAGTGATCGTTATCGAACACGATTGTTCGATTCGTCAAGGATCCATCACCTTGACCCCAGCGCGAAAAACTATCGCGCTGAGAATGAGTTCTTCATCGATGCTTTCTTTAAGCATCGATGGTGCAGTGGGAACCACAAACGTGATGGTCCCTCACTGCCTCAGGCGTGGAACGCCTACATCCATAACCTTGAGGATGTAGGTCGTGACGTTTGGAACGACAAACTTATCAAAGCTCGTGATAAGTTTGAAAAGCGAACCCCGACAGGTGCACGCTACAAGCTGCATCGTCTGTCAAGGGAGAAAGGATTACCCTGTCTCTTCTGGGGAGACCCGTGCCCTTGTTGTGTAAACAACTCGGCGCGCGCCTAAGGATGCTTACCTCCTTACTAGCCCGTGGTGGTGCTTGCGTATGTCTAGTGAGATGTACGAAGGGATTGACAACCTGAAATCCCTTTACGACCGTGCCGGGAAGACTTTCTCCGGTGGTCCTTCTGCGGCACAGGATGTGCCGCGTCGTACTGCTCAACCAGACCCAGTACGTCGATCATCAGTTGGGAGCGGGGCTTCCAAGTATCCCAGGACGGAGGATAGCCTCGCCACCGAAAGAGGCAACTCGTCCGACGTCCGTTCGCGTCGCGGTGGTTCAACAGCTGCTCAATCAGATAGCGCTGGCCACCGCGAGAGTCCTCCAATGGAGGTTGAGGAGGAGGGGAGACGCTCTCCAAGCTATCGTGGGGGAGCGTTTGTCTTAGAGAGCTTCTTTGATCGCGTAACTCTTGCGTTACGCGACGACCTCGAGCATGAGCGGGACAGGCGTCTTCAACTGGCGGACACTGTCTCAAAGCATTAGGCTGAGTTTTCCTTTGCTCAGCTTGAGAACGAGAGAGCTTTGACATCTCTGCGTGACGAGCTAAGGGTAGCTCGTGTGGATATTGACCGGTCTCGGTCTGAGATAACTGCTCTTCAGACCCTTGTCGATATCCACCATCGGGAGCACAAGGCCCTCTGTGAGATGCTTGAACGCATGGGCGTTCTTCATCGGAAGAAGCAGCGTACTGATGGTACGGCTTAAGCCGACCAACGTATACGTGGGATGCGTTCGCATCTTACGTGGCAGTTCGATCGTGTATGCGTTGCCTAGGCGGTGCAATACACGAAATGGGCCGATGTGCTTGGGTAGTAGTTCACTACTACCCAAGTTAGTCACTAAATGCTTTGGTAGGTTAATCGTAGACAGTAGGACTAAGTCCCCTTTAATTAGTAAAATAGTGTTTTCCCTTCCATTCTTGTCAGCGTTTTGCTTTTGCTTGTTCACCGCTTCGGCGATGGAGTCTTGCACAAACAGGACTACCGTTTCACGAGCCAGTATGAACTCATCTGATGACTCGTTAGCTTCAGTGTGCTGTGAGCGCACTGCAGCAACATCAACCTTTTCTTCAGTGAGGGCTTACGCGCTCTCACTGGCATCATCTTCTTCGATGTCGATGTTATCGATATCGGCATCAAACGCAATGACCTCATCGTCAGAGCGTGATGAGCGTGAACCAAATCGTTTTTGCTCGCGCGAGTCTTTCCACCCCTTAAACCAGAGTTACACTCGAGTAAGATGGGTACACGCGGATGGCGTAAGCCATTCACGTAAAACGGTGTATGTGTCGTGGACGCATGAACCGAGTTGTTAATGGCAAACTCTACCATTGGCAAGAACTCACTCCAACTCTTAAAGGAGTGTACGTATCCTCGAAGTATCTCTTCGAGGACACGATTGGCGCGTTCTGTCTGACCATCTGACTCTGGATGATCAGACGTAGACATCTTCAAGCGCGTTCCGAGTGATTTGAACACGGAACGCCAGTAATCAGCTGTGAATCGTGGACCTCTGTCTGATACGAGTTCACGGGGCAACCCATGAAGTCGGAAGATGGTGTCGATAAAGACACAAGCACAGCCACTTGCCGTGATTGACTCTGGTACGGCCACAAGGTGTTCCATTTTGCTGAATCTGTCAACAAATATGAGAATACCCGTATTCCCGCGTGCGTCTTTGGGTAACCCGAAGACGAAATCCATTGATATGGATTCCCAGCACTCAGCCGGAACCTGTAGAGGCTGTAAAGGTGCACGCAGTGAAGGACTTGACTTCACTCGTTGACAGACTTCGCATGCGCGAACATACTCTCGCACAAACTGATACTGGCGGGGCCAGTAAAAGTCTCGACTCACCGTGAGATAAGTTTTCTCCCGGCCACGATGTCCTCCTATAGGAGCATCGTGATACTCGAACATGATCCGCAAACGCAGATCAGCATCATCTGGAATGACAACACGTGGTGTGTCACCAGAAACGGCTGTATAATACAGTAAACCGTTACGAGTAGTGTATCGATCTGATGCAGATCGATACGCAGACGATAATCGTTTCAACGATTTTTGAGATGGTTGTGAGCGATATGTCAACAACTTCACAATCTCACCATCTTGGGCATACGCCCGCCTCACATCATCATGCAACATTGAAGATGGGACTGAGGACGTCATAACCGCAATAGTGACTGTCTCACTGTTGGGTTTCGCGACTGTTTCAAAGTCGGGACGACGTGAGAGTGCATCAGCGACGACATTAAGTCGTCCTGGTTTGTACTCTACAGTAAAGTCGTATTCTGCAAAGAATGACAACCACCGCGCCATTCGTTGTAAAAGGTGCGGGCTGTTTACTGCCGTGCCTAATGACGCATGGTCAGTGTAAACAACGAAGGGTCTATCTCCTAATAGATAGACTCTGAACTTCGCGAGTGCATACTTCATGGCAGGAAGTTCCTTGTCATGCACTGGATCGTTCTGCTCAGCTGGTTGCAGATGACGCGACTGATAGCAGACGACGAGTTCAACGCCTTCAAGATCGTACTGAATCAATGCACAGCCGATTGCGAAATCGCTGGCATCACAGACCACATGAAATGGCCTGTCCTGATCGGCAATTGCTAGGACTGAGGATTGTATCAAGCTCTTATTGATACCATCAAAGGAGCGCTGACATTCAGCGTTCCATGACCACCTCTCGTTCTTTTTCAACAAACGAGACAGGTGTACAGTCATCTTGGCGTAATTGTGTGAATACTTATGCAAATACGCCGCTAGCCCAAGGAATTTTCAAAGACCTTTGCCATCAACCGGCACAGGCCAGTCGGTGATCGCCTTGATATTTTCGGGATCAGGACGTACACCGTTCTTACCAACGATGCACCCAAGAAGTGGTATTTCGCTTGCGGCAAATATACACTTCTTGAGGTTTGCATACAATTGATGCTTTCGCATGATTGTAAGAACCTGTTGGACGTGGTACCTGTGAACCTCAACGTCCGACTTTCCGTCCATAGCTCGACTATGGATGAATACGTCATCGAAATAACTCGGTGCGAATTCTCGTACTGGTCTCAACAGATGTGATACACATCTGTTGAACGTGGCAGGGGCATTACTAAGCCCTTGTGGCACTACTAGCCATTCCCAGAGCATGCCGCTAGGCGTGCTCACTGCGGTATAGGGTATATCCCGTTCCCGCATAAGGCTTTGATAGAAGCCATCCATCAAATCCATGGACGAAAAGGTGGTACTCTTTGACATACCATCATTGATTACGTCCTTCCTCGGTATCGGCGTCTGAGCCGGTACCGTTGCAGCGTTCAATTTGTTAAACGCGTGCACTATCCGCCACCCTCCTGTTGCTTTTCGCACACAGAAGGTCGGAGAGCTATGTGGGGAAGTTGATTCCCTCACATGGCCCGCAGCTAAACGATCGGCAAAGAACTTGTCGATCGCAAGTACTTGTTCACGGGGCAGTGGCCACTGCTTCATGACACAGTACTTCGAGCCTGGTTTAAGCTCGACCTCGTGTCGAATACCTTTATCCTTCGGTAATTCGCACGGAACTGTTTCAGGGAATACATCCTTGAATTCAACCAAATCTTCATAGAGAGGATTTGTCTTGAGCGATTCCCACGATTGGGAGTCATATCGCTCAACTCGTGTCTTTTCATCTAGGACACTCTCGTCCATAGATGAACTACTGAAAACTCTATCGTTCTCAGTGAAAACTGTTGCTGACCTTATGCCGGCTACACACTCGTCGTCAGCGACGAGTACACAGATCTGCTTGACTTTGCCACTACGCATATCACGCAAGAACCTTTGATGTTCGAGCGTTGGCAACTGAGTGATCTCCGAATTCAACTTCGGAGGCGCAATCAGATGAAGTGTATACGCGCTTACACTTGATCCGTTATTGACTAGGACATTCAATGTCTCTGTCATTTCCTGGGGACTTATTCCCTCAGGCCTCGAAGGACTTATTCCTTCGGCTTTCCGGGGACTTATTCCCGCAGGTTTCGGGGAACTTGTTTCCGCCGTATTTGTAATATCAGGACTTATTCCCTTAACTCCCTCTAGCTGTAGTTGCGCAACCACAGCGAGATCCTCTACGAAAGACTCTCCAGTCGATCTAGGATTATCGTTTCGCTTAACCTGAGCGATCGATTGTTTCTCTTCTAGATGTTCCCCGCTAGGGATACATCTTTGTCCCAGTCCACCCGACTTATTCGAGTGGTGGACCTTCGGCGCAGCCTGTGTTTCCTCACAGCCGCCGGAACTTTGCTCCGAAGTGTAACCGTTTGGTACACTAAGGTTTTGTGCAGTCGTACTAACGACCGTACCACAAGTGAGGCCATCGCACTCACTCGTAGTACATCCACACGTTTGTGGACGCTCCAAAACGTTCATCAGATGGCCATCTGATGAACAAGCGGCAGGCATCGTTACTGTTCGATGTTGCCAGTTAACCCGTGGTTCGTACCTTCTGAGCCACGGTATTCCAAGGATGACATCAAATTTGTCATCCAAATCCAATACGATAAAGTCATCGTCATATTGGGTATCTTCTAGCGTATAGCGAATCTTCACTATACGCTTCATGACGGTTACGGATGCGCCTGTCGCAAGACGTACCGTCATCCTCGTAGGAGGTGTGTCACATTCACTGAGCTTAAAGTGACCATCTTCTAGCGATTGGCGTCGCACAAAATTGTTGGACGCCCCACAATCGACTAGAGCTCGAACGGACAACTTATTCGTCACTTCAGTTTCAAGGTAATGAGTGAGATCTTATTACCTAGACCAGCAACGCACAGTATTTGCGTGTTGGGAGCAACCTTCGTCAAGAGGCCTGCAAATTCTCTTGATGTTGCTGGACCAGTAGGGTGCTCCGCACCTACTGATCCTGTCCGTTTTTTTACGGTCCATCCCGTTGTTGCGTCTTTGCACCAACAGCGGACCCGCGTCTGTGCCCCTTTCTCATGGGTGGACGGTCATTACGCCCAGTGTTGCGAGACACTGGACGAGGGGCACTACACTCGTAAGCGTAGTTTCCTGTCTTCTGACATCTGTTGCATTTCTGCAACCCCTTGTAGTCTGTAGAGCGAGCCTTCTCGCTCTCTACATAACAGAGTTCCATCGGCTCTGGACGTCCGCTGTCATATCGTCTCGGTTGACGATATGATGTCGAGCTGGCGCGAGCCTGTCTCAGACTGAAGTCTTCCTGCTCCGCAATGGAAATGGCTTGTTCTAGTGAATCTAGTTCAAGCCGGAACAGGTGAGTCTTGACGGGACCATCCGCAAGACCCTGCATGAACACCGAAACCAACGTGTGTTCATCCACCGGATTGGAACTTATACAACTAGTGAGATGTCGTATATGTTGAGCGTAAGCGTGTACATCACGCTCACCCTGCTTGAGCTTCAAGAGTTCGGTTCGAGCCCTGAACTCAGCTCTAGGCGGTCCAAACGTTTGTCGGAGCC